GACGGAAGAGTCTGGGCTGTGCGAAGCTGGGACGTGCGGACGGACAAGTCGGGCTGGCTTGGAGTTCGGGCGAACGAGTTAAGTAAGTTGACGGATGAACGTGGGAGAAGTCGAGTGCATGCGGCATGACGGACGTACGTGTTCGAGAAAACACGGACGGACTGCTCGGACGCGGGAAACAGTTGGCGGGAAGTCTTGGACGTTAGGCGTGGCGCGCAGACACGGAGAAGTGGGCTCGCGGACGGTTGACGGGCGGTTCCAGACGGTTGACGGTTTCCTGAGAGTATGCGGATGAGCGGTTATAACTCCCTTGGCAGTTGGGGATGTCAACTGCCACGTTCTTTCTCTTTATTTACTCGTAGCCTAGCCAGCAAAACGAACAAGAGAGGGAAACGCGAATGAGAGAGCGTTTTGGTTCGTGACTTGTGCTGAGCAGGCGAGATTTTCCTTGTGTGAACGAGAAATACATAAGGTTGGACCGGGTCCGTAAATCTGCGTCTTTGGATCGCACTTTGTTTCCACGAACGAGTGAGTTTTCCGCACACGAGAGTTGGGTTCGGTGAGAGAGAGATCCGTTCCTTAACGAGAAAAATCGAGTGCGTGAAAAGGGGTCTAACACAATACGAGACCGTAATCTCTAAATAGAATATGCTAAAAGCTTAGCGAAAGGGTGTGGGCGTTAGGGAACTAAGTCAAGATCATATCTCCGACATCAAACAGAAGTAGACAAGAGGGTTACATGATGAAAACAGAAACACCACACTGCTAAATGGGCTTTTACGAGACCCAAATGACTCATTCTTTAAGGCCCATTGGGCCGAGAACGGTTAAAATGGGTGATAGAGCAGAGGAGCAGTAGACGGAAAACCCTCCTTTATTTATTCATCGCCATTGGGACTGAACGAAGGGAAGCCGAAAGGGTTTTGTTCGCTACGCCATTCTCTAAGAAGAAGGAGAAGAAGAAGATGCCGGGTCCCGTTGTGGAGGAAGAGATGACTCAAGAACAGATTATCGAATCCGTCAAGGAGCAACAGAAGCTTCAGGTTCGATTTTTTCTTCCTTTACTCGGATTTTCAATTCCGTCGAAGTTTTTCGCTTTGTGACCATTTTTTATTCTGTTGTGTGGAACAGAAGGAAGACGATGTGGTTGTGGAGGAGGTGAAGGAGGGAGAGGACGAAGATGACGATGACGACGACGACGACGATGATGACGCCGCCGCCGACGGTATTCTTTTTTCCCGCGTTTTGATTTATTTGCTTATCCACCTGTTTCCGATTCATGTTTGATTCTGGGATCTCTTTCGGATTTGCATTCGAATTCTTAGATCTGCGTCTCTTTATATCGGCTTGTGTAAGATTATACACAATCTCTGGATAAGGACTGTGTTTTGTAGATTACCAAAATGGATGTCTCTTAATTTCCCAAAATTTAATTGATCTGTGCAAGTTTCCACATGGTTACACTGCAACATTCTCCATAAACATAAAGAACCCTAATCTTTTGTAAGCTAGAAATGGAATTTAGGATATGTCTGGTGTCATTGTATATATGTTTTTGTTTCGATGTTTGATCGATCAATCCTTTAAAGCCTCGTTTCTGGGCTTCGTTCTTGTTTTTGTGATGCCTAGGTGAAGGAGCTGGTGGGAACGATAGTTCCAGGCAGAGTAGAAGCGAGAAGAAGAGCCGCAAGGCCGTGCTGAAGCTCGGGATGAAACCTGTCACGGATGTTAGCCGGGTGACCATCAAGAGATCCAAGAATGTATGTAAACTCAGACCTAATGCTTCTTGATGTTTGCCATTGTTGTCTCTGTAACATTGGTCTGTTTCCGACAAATTCTTGCACCCATTCAGGTGTTATTCGTCATCTCCAAGCCAGATGTCTTCAAGAGCCCGAACTCTGAGACTTATGTCATATTCGGAGAAGCCAAGATCGATGACCTGAGCTCTCAGCTGCAAGCACAGGCCGCTCAGAAGTTCAAAATGCCCGACATTTCTTCCATGGTTCCTAACTCGGATGCCTCTGAGGCCACGGCTGCTCCGCCAGCCGAGGAAGAAGATGAGGAAGATGTCGACGAGACAGGTGTCGAGGCCAGAGACATCGATCTGGTGATGACACAGGCAGGTGTCTCCAGGGCCAAAGCCGTGAAGGCTCTGAAAGCTAGCGAGGGAGACATCGTTTCCGCCATTATGGAACTCACTACGTGAAGCCGAGGTTTCTTAATCTCGTAATTGTTTTAGGTTCCTTTTTCTTTTGATTCTTGGTTCTTGGTTCGAGTCCCGAAACTTGTTGCCTGTCGTTTTTCTTGAACAATGTCTGCTCTGTTTTTCGCCAAGGTTATTTTTCTCCATCTTCCCTGATCCTTCATAATGAGATTGTTAGATAAGCAAGATAAGAAGCAGTATGGTGAAAAAATCTGTGACATTAACAACGAGAAGGGTGACAAAGTTTATCCTTTGAGCTTTTGGTTCAGTTATTTAGGGTATGGTTTATTGGATTGCCAAGAAAATTGTAACTGTATATAAATTAAATTGGTTTGGTTTAGTATGGTTTTGCAAAATATAATTATAACCAAATTCGGTTTTGTTTGCCTTGGTTTGGTTATGTTATGAATAAACAATGATAAACAAGAAAAAAATTTATTGAAAAATCATATTTCTAAATAGAAATAGCATTTCTTAAAACAATCAAATGACACTCCCTTCAAAATGATTCTTTAAATATTATAATATAAGTTTTAAACCATAAAATAACACTGTTTTATAATTTTAATGATTAAAACGTTCGGTTTAATCGTGATTATTCGGTCAATAATCGAATGTTTATTCCATTCGACCTGAACGGTTTTCACATATTTGTTTTATAAGTCTTCATATTTCTACAGATGACCCAAAACTCATCCTATATTCCGAATACACCCCGAAGTTCTTGCAACTCTAACCGTTGGCATCATCATATTGTGATATCATGTGACCATTTCATGATCACTATTTTTAAATTTTCACCGCCAGAGCAGTCCATGTATCCAATCTTTTTCATTAGATTTTGGCCGTGTTATTTTGTCTCATATTTTTTCATATACAATTAAAATTCTAATTTCATATAAACCTTTCCAACTCAATAATTTTTAATATATATAACCAACTAATACGTTTTATTAGAAAGATAATTTCGATACGTAAAAATAAACAACAATGTACAATTCTAGTAACGATATGCATTATAAAAAAAATACATGTTTTTAGATAAATTTTTCAACGAATTTCAACAGTATTGTAACAACGAGATCCGTTAAATTTTCGTTGAAAATTTCAAAGGTTAACATTTAAACGAAATTCCAACGGATTTTAATTGAAAAATTCGGTTGAAAATTTCTGAAAAACCAAAAAGACCGAAAGAGAGAAAGTTCTTGATTCATAGACAAGTCCGAAAACAGAGTGAGAGTTCGATGTGTAACAAGATGAACCGGAAAGGAGAGAAATAAATGTTATTCAGCAGTAACATTCTTCTATTTATTCTTCTGATTCAACCATCAACAGGAAGAGATAGAATCTCCTCTCTTCCGACATGACATGATACAGACAAAGTCAGCTGGAAGTTGAAACGGCAACAGAAGACAAAAGGATAATGTCTGAAGGGATCATCAGATACATTGAAACCATAAACACAAAGCATCGATTTTTACACGGCAAAGCCTCTCAAGAGTCAGTCATATACACACAAGGAAAGAAAAAACACAGACAAGAAAAAAAAATACAAGAACCCATGAACAAGAAGAGATTTTCTTTTTCTTTGGGTTGTGGGGTTTTTAAATCGTCCTAACTCGGATCGTTCTTGACCGGGTCACGAACTCGGAGGAGGAGGGGGGGAGAGAGGAATGAAAAGGGAGGGAATAGAGAAGACGGAGACGGATTCGCCGAGGGAATGGAGCTTGTGCGAACAGATGCTCCAACACTCTCGCCAGAACCGCCGTGTACTCCTCCATCATCTCCGCCACTGTCGCCACCAACAACATCTCTCTCTCTCTCTCCAAAGATCTTCTTCGTGGCCCTGTTTCAGACCCTTATCCGAAACCGGCTTTAGTTCTCAAGGCTTCTCTAGATCGGATGAGTTATGTACAGACTGACATGTCTCTTTTTTTTTTTGTTTATAATATTCTGTTTTTTTTTTTGTTGTGGTGGAAACTGACATGTCTTGATGATGTGTTGGTAACTCCAATGGGGTTGGTTTGTGTGCGGTGACTGTTTTTTGTCTTACTCTTGCCCCTTGGATTTTTTTTTTTTTTTTTGGATTTTAACATTATATATATATATAATTATATACGCACATCGTACTGTACTGGATCCCCACCTCTCACTCGTTCTACAGCTCGCACTTTTGGATAGTGTCTATCCACTTTCGTCTCATTTTTATTTTAAAAAGTGACAGAAATAAAATTGAAAGATCTTCTACACATGTATATCACATTAGACTGTGAATATAAGGCACCAAAACCGCGTGTGGTTTTTAAACCGGGGATGCCGGTTTTAACTTCTTGAGAAAAATTCTCAAAAAAATCATCCAATTTAAAGATAACTACTCGATTCATCGCGAACTTTTAAAACGCTAATATTCATATTGAATTTGAAATTTTTTTCTAAAAAACATTCAGAACTTTGACACAGATAGAAAATGTTTACGTGGCATCTGCGTGACATGTACTAATTCACCTCGCAGGATATACATCCATCCATACATATATTACATACTAACTAGTAACTAACTAAAGAATCCTCAAGTATCCAGAATTTCAATTTAACTAATAACTGCCAAATAGACTTCTTGACATTGGTCCGAACGAAGCCTAAACACAATCATTACAACAACAACAGAGCAACTTAAGGACATTGATACACGTGGCATTGCAAAGACTACTACATCATCATGTCTCTCAACGAATGAAACAAGAGGTTATTTTTGGCATTCTTTGTGATTATACCAAACCAGCCCCTCCTCCACATTCCAACAAAAATCGCCATCGCCAGCACCATCACCATCGTCACCACCATCATCACACTACTACTTCTACTACTACTGCTAAATTGTAATCTTCTCTTTAGCTGAGCCATCGTGAACTTACCATGTTTCGGTCTTAACTTCAGATGACGCCCTAATGGGTCTTCATCCTTTCCCTGAAACCAGACAAATTGCATATGTTTGTTAATGTTTCATTGATGTTCCTCCATGGGTGCCTGTTAATGTTTTTAATAGAGATACAGTTTTCAAGGGGCAATTCTTGCCTCAAGTCCTGTTTCAGAGGGAGGCTTCTGCCTTCTCATCCGCAGAAGGATTCTCCTTCTTGATGCACTTTGAATGCCGGAACAGGCTGATTGTGATTGGCCCTTATCATATTCAACCTGTGCGAGTAAATCATTAGTCACTTGAGAGGGAAACAAAAATGTATGACAGGTTCAAAACGGTAGAGTATTAACCTGGACCATTGATTCTTACCTCGGATATGGCAGATTGCACTTCATCTTCTTCGCTGTGACCTGCAGCTCTGTCTCCCTTGCTATCAACAGATGAAGGTGACCTCTCGACCTGTAGCCTGAGTCTTCTAGGAGCAGTGCCTTGGTCAACAAAGAAGTCTGAATTTGGTTGATGTTGCCCATCCCTAGCTCCGAGACGGGTTACATCACCGGGTCCAACAAAGCTCCCCTCCAAAACATCCGGATTAAGATGAAACGGGTCGATAGTTGCATAAGAGGCATGACCATGCATTGGTGTCAAGGTCCGGGAGGTTCCCGACAATGTTTGCCTCTCCACAAACTCTTTGTAGTCAACGGGTTCTCCGACCCATTTGGAACCAACAATGTCTGGTACATATTGCTGCACATGAAGACACCTAATGGTCAGTTCCAGTTCAATCTTCACCATCAGTCATGCATCGCTGCCGAGCAATGCAGTCCATTAAACGGTATACACCAGATGCTTACGAGCTTAACTAAGATCAAGTCTTTTACCTGTGCTCCGGCTACTACAGCATCACTGTCAACAAATGGAACAGTATCGCTGAGAAAGGGATTCATAGCTGAGAGCATGCTTGTATTTCCTCCGGGGAAATGCATCATCCTTGGAAGAGCTATGTCTTTCCCTTTAGTTGACTCCTCACAAGAGGGTTCATTATAGTTACCGAATACCTCATCCAAGACTGCTGTCAAGGATACATCCTGTAAAGAAGCACCATCTTGAAAATGTAACATACTATCACTGTTACCAAAATCGCTGTCATACAGTGAATCCATGTGCGATGCGGCAAAACCAATGCTTGACTGTGCTGGACAAATCGTTTTGTTGCCAATCTGAGCAAAACTCGGACCATAAAGATTAGGAATGTCCCTTGCAAATGGATCATTTTCCTAGAGCACAAGGAAGCAAAATCTAAGCTTAGGACAAAGGCAATACATTAGGCATATACATATTCACATCAGACAAATGAACAAGCACTTGGTTGAACAATCCACCTCTTACCTCAACCATGTTTTTCCCCAAAACAGTGTCTCCAGTATGAGAAGCCGTAACCCGATTGGCAAAGCTCTTGTCAATCAGTGGATCATTGGGTTTCACATCATCATACTTACCACTCGGGGATTTTTCAGTATCATCTGTTTCCTTTGAAGCTTGCGAGCGAGATGTAGCTGTTTCTTGGACCATCTCAGAAGACGTGTCATCGGGAATGGATTTGGTGCTGGTGGGAGTGGATTTGGCATTCTCTAGTTCATCACAGTTTGCAGTACCACAGCTATCACTTGGTTTGTGGAACAGGCGGCACAGAACATATGGATTCTGTTCGATACACAGACAAAAACTACAGATAAGCAAACAACAGAAATAACATGAATACATACATGGTCACAAGCCAAAAACATGGTTAGTAGATCATCATCACATCAAAACAAACGTTCTATCAGTAACTGAAACTATGTTGTAGCCATTTCAGAACACATGGAACTTAATTCGTGAGGCTAGCAAATAATTTCGTGCTTGTGTGCAATCATGGAACACAACCACATGAACAATCGAAACTGGGACAAGGAGCTATGACTGACCTAAGCAAAGAGAAACAAAAGCAGACCTGGCCAGGGCCGTTGCCGTCGAGGTCTTTGTCAGTGGCACGGTACTCATGCATGATCCAGTTGGTCCTCTCGCCCCTCGGAGCACGACCACGATAGAAGACCAGAGTCTTCTTCATGCCAACCGCCATCTTCTTGGACTTGATTGTTCGATCCTTCCCCGTGGCTTTCCAGTAGCCAGTGTCAGTGGCTCTGTTCGAACGATGGCCACTCGGGTACTTCCGATCACGGGGACAGAAGAAGAACCACTCCTGATCATCTGTCTTAATCACCGACAACCCTGTCATCGAAAAGAAGAAGAATCCCCACATCACATCTTAGAAAAACCCTAACATGGTCAAATCGTTCCTAAAATAAAACTCTTGCAGTTTCAGCATTTCTCCATCTGGGTTCCTCGTGTTTCTTCATAAATCGAAAGAAGAACACAGCAGAGAGAGAGAGAGAGAGAGAGAGACGAACCAGGCAAATCCCAAGGCTCCCACTTGCAGACGTCGACTTCGGGAATGACGCGCACCTCCGAATCACGGCCGTTGATCTTCAACCTGAGGTAGTGATTGATGAGTTCCTCGTCCGTCGGTCTAAATCTAAACCCTAGAGGCAAAGCTTCTACCGACAAAGTCGCCGTCGCCATAGTGGTTTCTCTTCCGGCTGTCTCCTTTCCTCTTCTTTCTCTTCGACTTGGCAAAGCCTTGTGCCAAAAATGAAACAAGTAGAAGCTGGCTTGTCTAACTCGCACGCGGGAATGATAGTACTCTCCGTAATACCCTTATGTTTTCGCTGTAATTACAAAACCGCCATGGCTCAAGCTTCTTCCACAAGCCTCGACGTGGCCGGTCAGCTTTTGACCCATCCGCGATCGCTTGGACTGTTCGCTAAGGCTAGTGGGCTTTGAGCCGCAGCCTGTCCCCATGGCTCCTCAGAAGATTCCTTCACGTGATCCTCTAAAGTAAAAAAGTTTCTCCAAAATCACTGTTAAAAAGATTATATATATATATATATAAATTTGGCGTACGTATAATTTGAAATTGAGTAAAAATAAAATAAAAAAAGTAAAAAATATTTTACGTTATCTTATCAAATCAATCATGATTATATTATAATCCAATTGTTTCAATTTTTCCGTATATATATATACATTAATCAATATGTTTATTGTGCTTAAACAAAATAGTTGAACTCTTTCTTTCTTTTTTGTACTGGAAGATAACATATATTTTTCGGTCAAGCGTATATTGTTGAGGCCTACAAAAGGTAAAAAGCGAGCTGTCTGAAAAAGTCACTTGTCCGTAAGATCTCAATTATTGCTGTTTTGTTATCAGTGGGCTTTAAAGCTTATTTGTTCGTATTGTGATTAACCTAAATGGGCCTAATTATACAGATTTTGGGCCCATCTTATCCAGTAGGCCCATATGAACTAATTGCTCAAATTATTGAATATAAACCCATAGTGAACTAGTAATTTGTGCTCTTCGAAATTAAAAATAAAAAATAAAATCAAATCCGAATCTGATTTGAACAAATAACGAAAGTCCAAAGTTTTATTTTTTTTTTTTTTTATCACAAACGAAATTATCGAACCCGGACATATACCACCCTAGCTTCAACTTCCAATATATTAGGCCCAGTTATTTGGGCTTTCAGATTTTCGGCCCAATGTAAAACCTACCACGCCTAGGGTTTTTCGGCACTTTGCTTTATAAACCTAGTTGCCGTCGGCCTCCGCGTGTAGAAGAGAGAGAGCGAGAACGAACGAAGAAGAGGTAGAAGAAGAAGAAGAGAGGGAAGAAGATGAAGACGATTCTGTCATCGGAAACAATGGACATTCCCGACGGCGTGAGCATCAAAGTTCACGCCAAGATCATCGAGGTCGAAGGACCGCGAGGGAAGCTCACTCGCGATTTCAAGCACCTGAACCTCGATTTCCAGCTCATCAAGGACGAGGAGACCGGGAAGCGCAAGCTCAAGATCGATGCCTGGTTCGGCTCTCGCAAGACCAGTGCCGCCATTCGCACCGCCCTAAGTCACGTTGACAATCTGATCACCGGCGTCACCAAGGGTTTCCGCTACAAGATGCGTTTCGTCTACGCTCACTTTCCCATCAACGCCTCCATCACCAACAACAACACCGCCATCGAGATTCGTAACTTTCTCGGCGAGAAAAGGGTTCTCTTCTATATCTTCTCTCATTTTCTGGTTCTGGGTCTGTTTGATCTATCTGATCTAGAGTTTTACCTGTCTTACAGTCGAATACTATGCATAGTGGCTAGAAAATGGAACAAATTATGGAACTTGATGTTTTACATTGTACTGCTTTTGTATTTTGGGAAACGTTGGATCCGGTGGATGGTTCGAAGAGCATTTGCAGATTGACCATGAAAATTGTTCAAACGTTTACCCTTTTAGTTAGTTCGATTAGTGTATGCAGATTTGCCATGAAATTAGTTAACTTTAGCTCGCTCTTAGTGTGGTTTATTTCCTAAGAATGTTATTACAGCAGCTAATCCGAGTACGCTTTGCTATATTTGAACAACAGGTCAGAAAGGTGGATATGTTGAATGGTGTGCAGATTGTTCGATCTGAGAAGGTTAAGGATGAAATCGTTCTTGATGGAAATGACATTGAGCTTGTCTCCCGATCATGTGCTCTCATCAACCAGGTACTCTCTAGTCATCTTTACTTGTTGTTGCCCTGTAAACATGTTAACTGATTGCTGGTCAAAAGATTTAGATTCTTGTCTGAAGAAATATCTAGTAGGTCTGTATATTTGTATATCTGGGTTTCAATTATCTAGATTAAAACAGTAAGATATTTGAGGCTGTATAGTTCGGAATTCTGTATTGTTCGTTTTTGGTATAGTTTTGTAGCTTCTTTCATATCCAACTGAGCTTTTGTGATTGTGCAATTTGTGCTTGAACAGAAATGCCATGTCAAGAACAAGGACATAAGGAAGTTCCTTGACGGTATCTACGTGAGTGAGAAGGGCAGGATCGTGGAGGAGGAATGATTTTCCGGCCGGCCGTTAACCTCAAAATGCTCTTTTACAGTTATATAGAGTAGCGATGTCGAAGCGATAGTCTCGTCTTTCTTTCTCTTTTGGGTGTTAGTTTATGTTTGGACCCATACAGATTCTTTGTTATCCGTTTGCGATTCTGTTCGAGATCTGTTCTCGTCGATTCTGGAAAAGTTTTGGAGACAAGCTTGTTTGTTCTTTGTATTTGCCCTGTCTTAATGCCTCTTTGAGTTTGTGTGTTGGTTCATCTCTGTTTTTGGTTTCTGAGTGGTTACATCGTTATGTGCATGGAACATGCCCAACGCTATGTGATCGGCCCTTCTTTCACCTTCCTACCATGCATACAGTCAAGCTTTTGAAGATGGAAAATGTTACTTCGATCTCCACTTCTCTCTCTCTCTCTCTCCCGTCGTCTCGATTTTGGTCTCTGTATACTTGAACCTCTTCTCGCTTTCAAACTTGATGAATCTGAGTCAGTATTGTCTTGTGGTTTAGGCATGGTGGTGATCATCGTTCGTCTGCCGTTGACGAATTGGAGATTTTAGCAGTGGTTTTTCCCGAGTCGTTTTGCGTGTCTTTTTTGTGTTAGAGGAACACTTTGTTTGTTGTCTCGATAGTTCTGTACTTCTTGCCTGTTTTCTAGGGTTTGTTCTGTAAGCCATGGCGGAAGGAGAAGATATTCAGCCGCTTGTCGTCGATAATGGAACCGGGATGATCAAGGTCAGTTCCTTGCCCCTCGTTCCCCTTGTTTCTGTCTGAAAATTGATCTCAATCTCGTGCTTTTTTCGGAAGGAGTTACATCGGCTTCTGTATGGAAGGCAGGGTTTGCTGGCGATGATGCTCCAATGGACGATCTTAGCGAGTATTGTCGGTCGTCCATGGCAAGCCTGCGTTATGGTTGAAACTTGAAATTGGACAGAAAGATGGATATGTCGGAGACGAGGTGCAGTCCAAAAGAGGTATTCTTACCTGAAGAATATCCCACCCCATCGAACATGGAATGACATCGGAATTTGTTTGCCTATGCCGGAAAAAGAGGGATATCATATAAATTCCACAACGTAGAAAAGCTTATAGATATTCAGAAAAGAGTTGCGGGAAAGAAGAAACAAAACTGAGAAAATCACTAAGCTGCATCTGCTGTATTGTTTCCTGGAGTAGCCATTGTTGTCTGAGAATTTGCAGCTTGTACTGTGTCAGTGGCCATGGAGGGGAAGAGGACAAGGCTGCGGCAAACTGGGCAAGAGAAACGGGAAGACAGCCACTGCTGGATGCATCCAACATGGAAGCCATGGTTGCATCTTGTCAGTACCTTCACTTCTTCCCCTTCCTCAAACTTCGACAAGCAAATCGTACACTCTCTCTCTGCTCCTGCTAGTTTCAGCCCAGCAGAATACTTCAAAGTGGGAGCTACCTCCAGAACCTGAGAAGCACCCGTGTTGCCACGTGGCTTTTCCTGGTCGGACCCTTGTTGAGTTAGTGTCCGAGCCATTGAGCCTCCCCTGCGCAGGAAACAACGAATGGCTGCACCAAGGCACATGGAACAGACAAGGAAGGAGAATAGGATGATGATGGTTAAGGCCGTGTTAGCTCCAGCTTCATTGGAGCTCGAGTATGGCTTCCACTTGCTGCAACTGGGTGGGTAACATGTTTGTGTCGCGTCTGAAAATCCTGGCTCTCTGGTGTTAACTGGAGATAGATGGCTGAGATTCTTGGCTGGTAATGAAGCTATTCCCCGCATTTCGGCAAGCGTTCTTCCCGATCCTGTAAATGGTATTCTCAGCTTCAAGTAACATATACTGCCCTCCACTGATCTTATTGCAGAAACAGCGATGTGAAGCAGTTCTGAACAACGAGGTGGGTTGATGAAGCTCTGTCGTGTGTTATTACAACTGCTAGAAGGAAACGTGTCATTCTGGATGACCAAGAATCAAGGAGGAAAGAAGGGCAACGTGATTTTACATATATATATATATATATATATGATGGGTTATGAACAAAGGCCACGCATGTACGTATTCATTTACTGACAACACTTGCCTTGCCATCAAGGTAATCTCACCTCCTATTTATTGATGCTTCATCTTTCTCTTTCTATATATATGTATGTATGTATATGTGTGTGTGTTCATGCATATACGTATGTATTTGTCAAGCAAACAACTTGTAGTGCATCGACAAATCTAGTTTGAGAGGGATCAGCTTTGGTTATGTGGGACATGGGAAATCTGCCCGAATTCATTCGTATCTCCATAAAGCATTGGTCCACTTGTTATTCTTTTCTTATTATAAAGCGAAACGACAGGGAAAACGACAGGCCTAATAATTTGTACAGTCCAAAGTCACGTGGCCACGTGGAAATCTCATTTGTTTCACCTTGACTTTGCTGAAGGTTCCCTTGGCATCATGACAAATCACATATACATACACACATATAGAAGTGGAAAACAGTGATTGGGAATGGCCATGAAAGCATATGTGTGTATATGGCAGCACGAGATGCAAGGAGGTCAAGGAGGAAAATGAGGCTGGTCAGCCTCCTACTATTTCTCAAATCTTATTTCTATTTCCCTCTCTTTAGACCACGTCTTATTAATTAGCGTTCTTGGTTTTTGTTTCCGCTAAAGAATAGATTCCATCTCTCTTTTTATACCATATTTTCAGACCCCCCAACAAAGAAAGTTGTGTTGCGTTATGTCCTACTCTCTGTAATGGTGGAGAGCTTTTTCTCGTGTTTCGAGTTCCACTATCCATTGTTTTTGCAAGAACCACGTAGAGATATTCTAATAGTAATAGCTTGAACAGACAGGATTTGTCTTTTCCCCTCTGTCCTGTTCCTTTGTCTCACTTTCTGAGTTAAAAGGTCTTCTTAGCCTTTGCAGTTACAGAAGGACCGGCAATGGCGAAGGAGAACAGTGGACATCACCATGCGGATTCAAGGAGAAAGAGACTGACGTGGATTCTCGGTGTCAGTGGACTCTGCATATTGTTTTACGTTCTGGGTTCGTGGCAGAACAGCACCATTCCCACCTCTCCATCGGAGGTTTACTCCAGAGTCGGATGTGATAATAATCAGTCTCCTCCTTCGTCATCGTCGTCTTCTTCCTCCGATGATGATCCGCCATTGTTGTCCTCTTCCGAACCAGCCGAGCTAGATTTCGAAAGCCATCACCAGCTCGACCTCAAGGAAACGGTGCAGACCGTGAAGCAGTTCCCGCCATGCGAGATGTCGTTCAGTGAATACACTCCCTGCGAGGATCGGGAGAGAGGGAGGAGATTCGACAGGAACATGTTGAAGTACAGGGAAAGGCATTGTCCTACGAAAGACGAGCTTCTCTACTGTCTGATTCCTCCTCCTCCCAAGTACAAGATCCCGTTCAAGTGGCCACAAAGTCGAGACTATGCTTGGTATGACAACATTCCCCACAAGGAGCTCAGCATTGAAAAGGCTATCCAGAACTGGATTCAAGTAGAGGGTGACCGTTTCAGATTCCCCGGTGGGGGCACCGGCTTTCCCCGTGGAGCCGATGCCTATATCGATGACATTTCCCGGCTCATTCCTCTTACCGATGGAGGCATTAGGACAGCTATCGACACTGGTTGTGGTGTAAGTCATTCAGCTCTGAAACCATATATCAGTTACTGTCTTTCTTTCCTCTCTTTTGCGAAGTCATTTGTTGTTGTTGTGAATGCTTAGGTTGCGAGTTTTGGTGCCTATCTCTTGAAGAGGGATATTATCGCAATGTCTTTTGCTCCAAGAGACACACACGAAGCTCAGGTCCAGTTCGCGCTTGAACGGGGAGTTCCTGCAATAATCGGCATCATGGGATCAAACCGGCTTCCTTATCCAGCTAGGGCCTTTGATCTTGCTCACTGCTCTCGGTGTTTGATACCTTGGTTTCAGTACGGTAATGAAAAAAACATTTTCTGTTGCTGATCTCGAAGCTCTTAGAGTTTGTGTTCGGTTACTGAAAACTGAAAGAAACATGTGTAGTGAAATGAACTTAGTTTAATCTTCACAGATGGTCTGTACCTGATTGAGGTGGACCGAGTTCTGAGACCGGGTGGGTATTGGGTCCTCTCGGGTCCTCCCATTCACTGGAAGAAGTACTGGAGAGGCTGGGAAAGAACTGAAGAAGATCTGAAGCAAGAGCAAGATTCTATCGAAAACGTTGCCAGGAGCCTTTGCTGGAAAAAGGTCATCGAAAAGGGCGACTTCTCGATCTGGCAGAAGCCTATCAACCACGTCGAGTGCAATAAGCTCAAGCGTGTTCATAAAACACCGCCTATTTGCAACTCAGATAACCAAGATTCCGCTTGGTAAATCCATCCTAAATGTCCCTTATTCCATTCCGTTCTTGCATTGTCCTGAGATGAAACCGATCCAAACTTGTGATTAATATACTTTTCCTGTCCTGAAAAAGGTACACTGAGTTGGAACATTGCATTACTCCACTGCCAGAGGCTAGCAATCCAGAGGAACTTGCAGGTGGTGCATTGGAGGACTGGCCCGACAGAGCGTTTGCTGTCCCTCCAAGAATTATCAGAGGAACGATACCCGGAATCAATACCGAGAAATTCCGAGAGGACAATGAAGTTTGGAAGGAGAGGGTATCATACTACAAACGGATAATCCCCGAGCTGTCTACTGGAAGATTCAGGAATATAATGGACATGAACGCTTACCTCGGGGGATTTGCTGCAGCAATGCTGAAATATCCGGTCTGGGTGATGAATGTAGTGCCCGTGGACTCGGAGAAACAGACGTTAGGTGCGATCTATGAGCGTGGACTGATCGGAACGTACCAAGACTGGTGTGAAGGATTCTCTACATATCCAAGAACGTATGACCTGATTCATGCAGGGGGATTGTTCAGCATTTACGACAACAGGTAAAAGGAGCGAATGGGTCGGTAGGAAGAAGTTCGGAAACGCATATAGTCTGCATACCGTGTATACATATGCGCGTATATATGTGTGTGTATGTATGGAAGTGATGAATGCAATGCATGTCGTGTGGGCAGGTGTGACATAACGTTGATACTGTTGGAGATGGACAGAATCTTGAGACCGGAGGGAACAGCTGTTTTCAGAGACAATGTGGATACACTGACGAAGATACAAAGCTTAACGAATGGGATGAGATGGAAGAGTCGTATTGTTGACCACGAGAACGGTCCCTTTAACCCCGAGAAGATCCTTGTCGCCGTCAAGACTTATTGGACAGGTGATGATTCCACTTCCAACTAGTTTAGTTCCTCCTACCTTGGAACTCTCCCCCTTTGTCTTTTTTTTTTTTAATTTATTTTATTATCATGGAAGATAAAAGATGAATTTAGAAGACGGTTAGATCATTATATTTTTTTATGTTTGTGAGATGTGAAATTCTGCTTTGAAGAATTTCCCACAAACTCATATAACATATGTCACGTTGGTTTCATTTTGGTTTTGATCATTTCTTGAAGTTTGGTTCTTCTTCCTCGTATGGTACAGATTCTGTGTTTATATATATATATATATATATATAAATCTTTTCCATTAAAAGCAGACACATTGAGGAATTCAAGAAGATTGTATTAATGGCGGTGTAGTCATATCTGCCAATTTGGCATTCAATGGAGCTGCCCGTTCATTTGACCACAAGTCAAATTCACCGCATCTGCTAATCACTTGCATTGATACACGCTACCCTAATCCCAATGTAATAATAAACAAATCGAAAACAAAGATGCAAATAAATCAAATGGATATTTGTTTTTATCAAAGGATAAAAAACGAATACAAAAATAATAAAACCAAAAGAAATTCTGAAATTTCCAATCCGATTTCATTGTCACTCTTGGCACTCTTTAATTATTTGGATTTCAATTTCACAACTACCAAAGATTCAAATTCACCGCTATTCATCTGCCAATAAGAAAAGGGGGATTATGTCTTTTAATCCCCTCATAAAGTTTTTACTTCTGAGCTTATTGTTATCCACGTCTTATGGATTACTGAAAAACATCCCTTCTTTTAAAACAAATGTATCCGAATATACGGTCCAAGTATTCCATAGATAATGTTCCTCATTTTTTAGTGGGTATTCAATTCTATTTTTTTCCCTTTATTTTCCTTGAAAAAAATAAATAAAAATAAGCTGTTCGCTCATTTTAATTAATTAATTATTTTCTGGGGAAATTTAAATAAAAAAAAAAAACAGAGGAGAGGGATGTGGTGCCGAGGGTTTTGGAAGAAGGCGTGAGTCAGCGTCAGAGAGCGTGTGATTGATTCTATTTTTGTAAATCGCTTGTGGGTCAGGCTCGGATCGGAAACGTTGAGATTGAACACACCGACTCCTTTCGAATCATTCCCTCTTCTTCTCTCGAGTCCTTTTCGAAATCCGGGTTTCTGGGCTTGTAGGCTTCGAATTTCTCTTCCACACCCAGAAATCCGATCTCCCTGACATCGATCATGGAGGTTGAAGAAGAAGTCAGACGGGTCGTGGAGCAGGTTAAGGAGCTTCAGGATTCTGCCTCCTCCTTCATCTCTTCCTCGACCCAGGAGGAGCAGTCTCTCCGGCAGAGATCCTCCGCTCTCGACGGCTCCATCCGCCGCCTCCGCTCCACCATCATCTCCCTTCTGTCCGACAAGCGTCTCGATCCCAAGCTCGCCGAGAAGGCATCCTTCTCACTCCGTTGCTCTTCCCCTCTTCAATTTCGTTTCCTCATTCGTTAATCCTTCTTCTCTTCCTGCAGCTCGAGGAGGATTTGCAGCGGGCGAGATGCATGCTCGCCGATGGAGACGCCTCTGCTTTTATTCCCTCCAAACCTCAAGGTTTCATTGTCTATCGGATCAGATGAAATGCCTAATCTTGTATAATTTGATTTGATTCAATCTCACGACCGTTTAAAGTCTGATAATTGGGCTGATGATCGAAGCAGGACGGTTCTTGAGAATGTTTTTAGGGCCTGTGAATGTTCGAGCCTTGCGTAAAGACATCCAACTCAAAGTCAAAGAAGAATACAATAGCTACAGAGTTAGTGTTGCTTCCCCTTCTCATAATCATCGCATCAGATCGCATGCAGGCGCCTTTAACGTTGATGCATCAGTACTTAGAACGAAGCTGTCAATTTATCTTACTGTACTCTGTGCATTGTCCAGTCTAACGAGGTGTGCTTGTTTTCCATGGAGCAGGATAGAACTGCTCTTCTTTTCCTTTTTTTCCCTGCAACCCTTTTGATCCTGAGATCTTGGTTGTGGGATGGATGTTTGCCTGCATTCCCTGTCCAGCTGTATGAGGTATATCAGTGTTTGACGGTTTGAGGTCTTGTTGATTTGTGTTTCTTACCTTTGTTTCCCGTATTGACGTGTAAATCCCTTTTGCCAGGTTTGGTTGTTGTTCCTCTATGCTGGTTTGGCTATGCGCGAGAACATATTGAGAGCCAATGGGAGCGATATCCGTCCATGGTACTTTTAAGGGAACCCTCCTCTGTTTATTATTGTTGTTGACGCATTTTTAGTTTCTCTTCACCTGGGAGGTAATTTTACTGTTTCCATGCTTAGCAAGCCATCTTTGTCTGTGGAACCGAATCTATGAACTCTGCTACTTTAAATCTGGAGTCTTCTAGGTCATTGCACCTTTCATGCTGCACGGTGGAAGCCATTAGACAATTTAACGCGTGCTAAATTCCTTTCTTCACTAAGTCAGCATCTTGTGTGTGAGAGAGAAAAAGAGAGGGATGTACCCTAGATTGATATGTTATGCTACATTTTGATCTAAATTTCTTTCTTCACTAAGTTAGCTTCTTGCTCCTTTCTCTAAGGGCAAAGTTCATTTTGGTCTCTGGGTGGCTTCAGTCCTGTCCCTTGCTTAGCGATCTATGTTCTGTTGTTCCCCTGGTTTTGCAATTGATCAACTGATAGAAAGAAACCGAGGGCTTCTATCTAGATTTGCCACTAGTTAAGGAAGCTGAGGTATCCTGATGCTGTTCGAGGTGTGTTGGCTTCCTATTCTTTGATACTTTTATTTCTTAGGTAAAAGTCCCTTATATAGGATACAAGCCATAGGATTCAGCTACGGCCATAAGAAAACCCTTGGTCTAATCCTTTTTTGAATAAAAAGACCTAAACTCCCAAAGCCCAAACGAAAGATAGATAGAACAAAACTCAAAACCCAAAATACAAGAAACCCAAACAATCCCGTGAGGTCCACTCGGCTGAGGCCTTCTCGACCTCAGCCTCTCCTATCTATCATCATCCAGTCCGATTCAGTGGTTTTAATTGTTCTTGCGAGTTGGAAAAACAGTGAGCTATCTTTGGTGTTTAGTGCTGTTGAAGTAGAAATATTCCTTTCAAAATGTCATTGAAAATGGCTATATATGACAATTACTAGTAAAGTTCAGAATAGATGTGATAATAGCAACTAGTAGGAGTTAATTATGGCTTGTCAATATTTGGCTTCGTGGGACGTTTAGTTTTGGTTGTTGGCATCGACCCATCGTCTGCAAGCTTTCCAAGCTGTGCCATATCTATTGCTGAATCAAGGGCATTATGATTGTGTAGATAATTGGAATGTCCATCAGATATTATTGCTTCCTGTGTCTCCTTGTGTGCCGTGTTGAACATGTTTGTTCTCTTGTAAGTTTATTGTAAGAAACTGACATGTGAAAAAACTGGAAGGGTATTTTCTGTATCAAAGTATAGAAATGCAGGAAATGTTTGGGAACGGTTTCTCATTTATGTTGTCAAGTGGTAATTAGATCTCTACAACTTTCCTGAGATGCCTTCTTTCCAAATAAGGAATTTTAGTTACTCATGGATTCCTCTTTTGGTAGAGGATTAGAATGGAAAGTGTTTTTGAATGATAGAGAGAACAATCTTTATCTGGAATGGTAACTCCAGTGTGGAGTATACTGTGTAGTACTGTAGTGATTGTGATTTTATTGAGCGGAGATGAATTTAACAATTGGGGCTGATATGCTTTTGCAGGTGGATTTATCATCATTATTGTGCCATGATTATGGCCATTGTCAGCCTCACATGGGAAATCAAAGGACAACCAAACTGCGCCCAGAAGCAGGTACAAATTATTTTATTTATTCATTATGTAGATTATGAATTACCAAGTCTATGCCATGAATCAATTCAAATCTTCTGCAGAGAGGGGTCCATCTTTTCCTGCAATGGGCTATGATGCAAGGTGTGGCAATGCTTCTACAGAACAGATACCAACGCCAAAGATTATATACTCGCATTGCACTGGGAAAGGTGGCATACCATTCACACTTTTGTTTGGTCTAAGTTCTATTAGTCTTTCATGGATTGGGTGTAAATGTGTTAGTTTTCAGGCTAAGAGGATGGACGTTGTATGGGGAGAAACAGCCGGAGTTGATGGGCAAATATGGCTATTGTGTCCTCTACTGTTCATTTTGCAGGTGAGCTAGGTCCACAGATCTGAATCGGTTTTACGGGATGCATGCTTTAACGGTTTAGATTTCCTAGTCTTCTTTACTTTGCTTTAACCTAGTATGATTAGCTGGTGATGTTTACTGTTTAGTCAATATTCTCTTATACTATCAAGAACATTTCATGGGATTTTGGACATTCAGTGGAACCATTAGATTTAGATAGCATTTTTTTTTAAAGGATATAATGGTTTCAAGTCATTTGATATGTTAACCGAATTCAAGACAAAAAATGGAGACCTTAAAGAATGGTCTAAAGTCTGGATGATTTTGCACACACCCATCAATCAGAAGGATTTTTGCTCACACATTATGATTTTTTATGGATGATTAGCACGTTTAACCTTAAGAGGCTAACTTATTTTACTTTGGAGAAAACTCAGGGATTCGAGGCTTATGTTGGACTGCTGTTGTTCAAGGCAGCATTATCTGGGGTAGTCGCTGAATGGCAGGTACGAGATTCTCCCTCTTTTCGCAGCTTTTCCACGTGCCTGTTGAACTCTGTCCATTATGACCAGAAATTGTGATTCAGATGGTAAATGTAACAGTAAGTGATAAATATAACAGAGTAGGAATTGCCCCTTTCTCCATCTCGGTTTCTAGCTAGTATCAGGACGCGTCTGCAAGCAGCTAATAACATATTTGAATAGAATATGGGGCTCTGTTTCAATGGTTAACTAGCAATTTGGCCGGATTGTTGTGGCAGGTGATGTTTTGTGGCATTCTTCTAGTTGTGATGGCAGTTGGAAACTTCACCAACACTGTAGAGACGCTGATGGCAAAGTCAAGGTTCAAGGCAAAGAGGAAGAGAAGCAAAAGCAAAGCAGAGCTCGATTAGACTTCCTAACTCCATAGGATCAGTCTTTTGAGACTGAGCTTCATAGTTCTCAACTATGGATCTTTTCCCTTCTCCTATTTTTGCCTAAAAATATTGAAGATTTTTTTGTTTTGGTGGGGGGACCAGGGGTCTGGAAACTGGGATGGCCCTCTCTTTGTGTATAAATGGAAGTGGCAGTTGATGATGTTTGATGGGGTGGAGTGTTTGTGTAACATTTTTCAACTGTGACATTTGTGGGTTTTCACAATCAGATCCTCAGGTGCTGCTGTCTGAATAAGTTTGTACCTTTTTGTCTCTTCTTATGTTTGGACATGACACCTACACTGCCTCTAGTGTGATTTTGGTTCAGATTTGAATCTTTTTCTGTTCAAATTCAGTAAAAACAAAATGGCCATAATAGAAACTAACCGTCATGTGGAATCATATTTGAGGCTTTTAGGTTTCGTAAACACCCAACCATTTGTACAATTAGAACGGTAACCACTAGACCGCCACAAGGCGCTCTATAATATTTATGAAGCTTTGTTGTGGACAAAAAACAAAATACAGAGTAAAAAGGGCGAATAAGAGAGCAGAGGGAAAAACATATGTCACGTTGGTTTCATTTTGGTTTTGATCATTTCTTGAAGTTTGGTTCTTCTTCCTCGTATGGTACAGATTCTGTGTTTATATATATATATATATATATATAAATCTTTTCCATTAAAAGCAGACACATTGAGGAATTCAAGAAGATTGTATTAATGGCGGTGTAGTCATATCTGCCAATTTGGCATTCAATGGAGCTGCCCGTTCATTTGACCACAAGTCAAATTCACCGCATCTGCTAATCACTTGCATTGATACACGCTACCCTAATCCCAATGTAATAATAAACAAATCGAAAACAAAGATGCAAATAAATCAAATGGATATTTGTTTTTATCAAAGGATAAATATGGTTTATAAAATAAATTTGAAAGAAGAGAAACCAACAATGCCACATGGGGTAGTATACAACTAAATATCTACATTTACAAACATGAACGTGTGTATGTGTGTATGTATATACGTGAAGGAGAACATGATTGGATTCTGGAAGAGGGTTCTGCACGTTCTTCTGCTGTAGACACAATCTCGTGTTTGCTAGTTGTAAAAGGCAATCAAAGTGGAACTTGTGGCAAAAGCAATCTCTCATTGCCTCTCCATTTGCCTCCTCATTATTACTCTCTCTCTCTCTCTTTCTTTTTTTTTATAATCCGTAAGTTCACCGGGCCTTTGACCCGACTACATGTCCCAGAGCATCGGAGAAGCACAGGTGAATGTACTTCCCCATGCTTGGGTTTGAACTCAGGATGAGAGCACGCTTTGCATGTTCTATCATCACTAGGCCACCCAAACTTGGGTCTCTTTCGCTTTTTTATTCTGCTTCCTTTGTTTTTTTGTTTATCTTTCTTTCTCTATTATCATTGTATTAGAAAAATGCATAAAATCGACCCCTTCTTAAAGTCTCCTCTTTAAGACAGAACACTCTTCCACCAATGCATTTCAAGACCTCAAACACTTCAATGAGCGGTTTCTAGACAAACCCTTTTGACATAATCATATGGATGATGAGTTCTATGACCCTTTTTTTAAATATTTTAAATGATATTCTCACCTTCCCCCGCATAAATCTCCAATGTGGTGTATACTGTGAATGTGAAGAGAGAGGAAAAAAGGAGATGAATAGCTGGGGGAGTCTTGTCGTACAAGTACAAAAGCACGTGTTCTTTTATGAAAGAACTGATGAAACCAGTGAAAAAGATGAAGAAAGAACAAACTTTTAAGAGGCTGTTGAGTGATTGCGACACAAGCGAAATGGTGGGCGCCGCAAAAGGACGAGAGAGAGAGAGAGAGAGAGAGAGAGAGAGAGAGAGAGAGAGATTCTCTTCTCTGAAACTTTGTAATGAAACATAGTTGAGTCTCTGATCAGCAAAACAAGCAAAGTGAAATTTGGATTTTTGAGTACAGTTTCTCAGACCCTTTTCATCTGTCACTTCAATGCAGAAGCACAATCAGAAGCAGAAGAAAAATTAAGTTAAAAAAAATCTTGAAACAGAGGAAAAAAAGACAGAGATATGACAAGAACTGAAGTCAATATGTTATGCTGGTTTGTTTTGTTTTCCCTCGTCTTGAATCTTTTGGCCGTTGAACCCTTTTGCCTTTCTTCTTCTTGTGCGTTTCACTGAGAGATGATGATCCTTATCCACACCTGTTTTTGCCTCAAGAAAACAAAAACTCTTTACTCCCCAGCCAATAAACAAAACTTAAAGATGAACTCCAAATGTAAACAACCAACAAGCATTTGATGTGAACAAAGGACAGAGAGAGGGAGAAGGTTTTACTGCTCTTGAGGAAGAAGAATAACAAATGTCAACAACAAGAAACAATGGGGTTTTACCGTGGAAATTGGTAAAAGAATGTGAAGTAAAAAAAAAAAAAAGCTGTATTGGCTGAAACAAAGATGAAACCTTTGATTTCAGTTTTCTAAATGTCAGGAGTGTATATATGTGTGTATGCTGTGTACATATGATACATTCTTCAGGCGACGGATATTTCGGCGAAATGAGAACGTCTTTTAAGGCTTTTGATCAATCCGCTACTACTGGACCATTGTCAAGAACGAGCCGTTGTTTCCTCTGTTTGAGGAACTCTGAAAAGCAATCTGGTAAGCTGTCTTCTCATCCTCTTCACCTTCGTCTTCGTCTTCGTCTTCCTCCAAATTATAAAGTTGAAGCTCCTCGATCTTCTCATACTCACCTACCATTAGCTTTTGCTGTTCTTGTTCAGCATTTGCTTGCTCTTGCTGCATCAGCTCCCTCACAAGGTCCTCTGGCTTCAATTTCAAATGAGATTCGTTCTGTTCATATCTTGGCTGATCCGTAGATCTTCAGAAGCTTCCAGTTACGAAAATGACAAGTCCAAAACTTTGAAATAGAAGAAAATGTTTTACCTTTTCTGCTCCCCCTTCCATTAACGCTCCCTCTTGTGGACTCTCCTCCTTGTGTTCGTCGTTTCTGTCACTCTCCTTTGGCGTCAATGTCTGATCTTGATCAGTTCTATGAAACTGCTCTCCTGAGCTACTAGAACAACCTAGTACTTTGTTTCGGTAGAGGGCATCGAGGCAATGGAAGTAAGGGCAAGTCTTGGAACCTTCGGGTCGGTTCTTGCTGCTCTCTTTCACTTTCTTGTAGTACTTGTTTATGTTCTCCCACTTCTCTTTACATCTCTTCGCGCTTCTGCTGTAACCTATTCTTTGCATTTCGGTCGAAATCTCTTCCCAGAGAGGACCTTTAGGCCCGGCCTCTTGGTACCGCGGTTCCAAGCCGCTCCTCAGGTTTATGAGCGCTAAAACCTCGGCCTTTGGCCACCGGGACGATGCTGGTTCAGAGCTTCTTGCACTTCCAATACCCATTTGATCATGTTGTTTCTCTGGTTGCTGCGATGGAGGAATCTGTTGTTGAGGAATCGCCATTACAGGTTGTAACTGAGATTGAATGTTGGGTTTTTCTGCAACTTGCGAATGGTAATGATGATGGGTGTGTCGTATCTCCTGCAAGGGTGGCTGCCGTGGCGGTTGCGGTGGCGGTTGGGTATGGGACGGTGAGAACTGAATGGTATGGCCTGTGATCTTCTGAATCAAGGAGGCTATGGCCATGTCGCGGGATGCAGACGCGGCTCGCTCCTGAGCCATGAGCTCGTGCTCTCGAGCAAGACGCGACATCTCTTGACGTTTCCAGGCTTCTTCATGGTCGATTCGTTCTTGCTCTCTCTTCTCCAGAGCCTCGAGGAAGCTCCTTTGAATGGCGTCTTGCTTCTGCAGCACCTTCCGCACCAAACCCTCCAACAACTCCACCATCCTGTTATTACCGCGTTTGCATTTGCTCGGACCCGCCACTTTAGCCGCATCAACGTCCATATCATCATCATCGTCCGATCCCATGCCGGAGGCCGTGGAAGAGCTGTGGGACGAGAACGTGGCTCCAGCGACCGTCGTGGCCGCCGCCGGAGGAGGAGTGGGAGTGATCGGGGTCGCGGTGAAGGAAGACGTGTACGGATGCGGCGGAGTAGGGAAGACGGTGAACGGAGACGAAGAGGGCATTCCAGCGGCAGCGGTGGAAAACGGCGTCTGTAAAGGATTCGCGACGGAGAGAGGCGCGACGTCAAGGGTTGCGTCTGGGGTGTTGAGAGCCTCGAGCTGAGTGAAGAACTTGTAGGCCTTGCCGTCATGGCGGCCGCCGCGAGATTCTTTGTTGCGTTTTTAATATTTCTGAACGTTTTCGAACTTCTCTCTGCATTTCTTAGCACTGCGTTTGTACCCAATCTCCGACAGCTTCCTGCAACAACAAAAAATCTCTTTTATATATAAAAAAACAAAACCCAGATTAATCTAAAACAGATAAAAAGTTGAGACGTGGATCTAAGCCATTTTTAAAATCAAAGCTACAAGGAAGGGGAAGGAGAAGAAGAAGAAACCAGAGAGAGAGAGAGACCTGGAAACGTCTTCCCAGAGAGGAGCTTTGAGAGTGGCGTGGCGGAAGTCGGAGTCCATGTCGGATCGAATCCTGAGAAGGGAAAGGGTCTCTTCCCTTGGCCATCTGTTGCTTGAAGACGAGCTTCCTCGGCCGTCGTCGCCGGCCGTTGAGAGTCTCGTGAGCTCCTCGAAGTCCGCCGGCGGTCTTGAGCTGATGGGCGATGCCTCCTCCGCCACCTCCCCGCCCTTCCCTCCTCCTCCTTCCTCCATTCCGAATCCGGCGCTTTTGCTGGAGGAATCTGCCAAAACCGGAATCAGATATATATTTATACCTCCTCCTTGCTTCTCTCTCTCTCCTCTTAACGCATTGATGAACAATGAAGATGAGGATGCGAGAGAGAAGATAGGAGAGTGTGAAGAAGTGGGTATAAGCCTATAAGGAGGAAGAAGATAATCAAGATCAGCTCCTGCAGCTTTTGAACAGAATTTCGGCGGTGAGAGAGGGTGAAAACGAAGATGATAGATAGGAGAGAGAGAGAGACTAAACTCTATGTTGACCGCCATTCCTTTTGTATCGTATGAATTGATACTCACTCACTCTTCACCTTTTATTTAATTAATTTACTAAGAAATAATTTCAATTTTATTAGTCAGTTCTGAGGCGAAAACTTGAAAATGGGATCCGGACACATCTCTCTTTGCTTAAGCCTAAGTGATCCATCAATTGGTTCGGTTCTCAGTTTAAACAAACTCATGTGCCTCCCATGTTGTATCTGTCAACGTGGCGTTCTACGATTGGTGGACAACCAGAATTAAATTTTATTTTGCCCGATTCGAGCTAGGGTGGACCAGCCTTTGACAATGTCCCTTCCCACACATCTCTTTCCTCTCCAATCCAATCCAACAGTTCTCTCCTTTCACCAACAAATAATAAATAGAATATAATATCATGGTGGTTAGGAGAGTGACAACTACAGGATATAAGCCAAAATTTTGAGCTCTGGTTCCTAAGTTCGAATGTTTAGATTTTAAGTTAAATTCGATTTCTACAAAATTTATAGGTTTTTTTATATAAACTTTTGAATTTCGTAAAGTGAATGCAAGGGCGAGGGCAACGTGGGGTGGCAGAATGGTAAGATGGGAATGAACAAAATCCCCTCACTTGAATTTGAAAAAACTTTACAACAAAAAAGGGCGAGGATAAAGGGATGAATTCGAGATCCAGAGAAAAATAGTGTATATAAATATTGACTATTTGTAAATCTATAAATAGTAATAATTTGTAAATATAGATAAATTATCGGGTAAATTGTAAAAAAAACTATACTTGCATTTTATCTCAATTTAAATCATATACTCCTTCTGTGCAGAGTATTTTTTTTTTGTTTTAAAACAAATGGTGTTTTCATATTTCAATGTATTTTTTAAGGTTTTTTCCGAAAACTTAACCCTTGTCAATTTATTGGGAAATAAAAAAATAATAATATTCTATCATTAATAAGAATAATTACAAAAGGATATTTTGGACAACTTTTTTTAATATATGTGCTTGGAGCAAAAACGTCTATCTAAACTTAAAACTTAAAATGGAGGGAGGCACATGATTTTGTATTTATATAAATAGGCATTTGGACAAAATAAAAAAAAAAATCGAAATTATCTAATTGTATAGATTTTTATAGAATAAAAAAATACTCCAACAATTTAATCATGCTAAGTATTTGGTCCAATGATCCAACAATGTAGTCATTTGTAATATATATATATATATATATATATATATAAACAATAAAAAAATTAGATTAAAATGAAAAAATCTAAATACATCACCCCAAATATCATTACAAATATTTTTTTTCACTAATCGAACACATATTTTTTATTATTCAAAAGTTTGAACTTTCGGCCTGAACTACATCTCTCAAATTTTAGAAATAGTCTATATATAGATCAAATACAGACTTCATCCCTAATCCGCAATTCGAACAGAGGACCCGAAACAATGACATTCCACACTTTTCAACTAGTTACTCCATTCGGCTACGACTTCTTGGATTACTAATCAACACATCTGCACATTATTATATTATGATTCATTTTAACTACTAATGAATCAAGATGATTCTCCTTGTCATTCTCTCTATCTCTTTTTTGTATATTCTCTTGTATCCGATCAGATATGAAAATGCTGGCTAATGGGTTTGTCAATGCATGGATCGAGATTAATAAATAAACAAACACATTGCAGCTAACAAACAAGACTCTAACAAGTGAGAGAGAGAGAGAGAGAGAGAGAGAGAGAGAGAGAGAGGTTTCTTGAAGAGGAAAGAAAGAGGGCGGCGGCGGTTGAGAGGGAAAGCTGGAGACATAAACACAAAGGAACAGCTGTTCTCTCTGGCTTCCATCTTGCATTACGTCATCTATTACTATTGTTAAATTAAATATCTAACAAAAGAGAGGAGGTGGTGGTGAGAACGTGCGTGGGGTCCGCCCGGGATTTATGAATCTCGTTCCCGTATTTCCCTGAATCCCACTAATCTTTTATATATCATCACATTAAGTAATTTTCTTAATATTTTTATATATTTAATAGAAAATTAATATTTAATTTAATGCTTTATTCACTTTATGCATGTATATTTTTTTAATATATATTTAAGTTTGATATTGTTTAATTGATTTTTTTTAATATAAATGAAAATACTGTATTTACTATTTTCTTCAGGCGATTCGTTTTTTTCTCTCTCTCGTTTGACACCCCTATTTCACTACACACGCTTCACCGCGACGTCGTGTTCCCATCCAATCAAATCGCGTTTGATTGTACAGGATCTAACAGCTGGAACTCCACCGATGTTTTTGTCCGTCAGATTAAATATCTCTTTAAATCTGACGGTCCATATTGGTTCTCTCAGTCCCAGCACCGTTAGGGTGGACTCGCACACTAGAGAGTAGAGTAGAGAGAGAAGCCTTTGTACTCTCTCTCTAGCTCTCGGTCGTCTTCGTCGCCAAGTATGCTGTCCTAGGGTTTTCAAACTTAGGGTTCTCAATCTTCATGTCTCCCTCGCTCGTTTAGACTTTGGCTTCTTCGTTGTTTCTCTTGATTCCACTCTAGTTGGATCTTCGCTTCGAGGAGTTGCTCTCGAGTTCCACAAGGTAAGCGCCTCCTTTCTTTTTTTTTTCTCCTTTGGAGTAATTGTGGATTCTTTCGGAAGCGCAAGGCAAGGTGGTTTGCTCTTATTAGGGTTTTGGAACCTTCTTCTAATTTCTTTCTTCGGTTTCTCTGAATTGATCGATGGTTCAAATTGAAGTACTGTTGCAGGGAGAGATATGGGTATCTTGTGGCGCAATTTCTCGTATTTTTTCCAAATTTGTATTGTACGAGTGATATCTATACAAATGTTTTGAATCTCTTATGCAGAATGGGCGACGCAGCTGAGGCCCTCACCCAGTTTGATATATCGAAGGAGGTAAAGACTCTAAAGTGTCGTTTTTTCTGGGAAAATTTCGGGTATTTTGTTTCCAACTGTAAAGTGAAGGTCAAGCTGTTTTCTGTGTTTTCAAGGATCTGATTTGAGTTTCGTTGAAACAGGAAACGGACAAGCTTGTTGCAGAGGTGATCAGATTCATACTCTTCAAGTCCCAGCAGAACTCAGGATGCCCGATTAAACGGGAAGAGCTCACTCAGATAGTTACTAAGAACTATCGTCAGCGTAACCTTGCCACTTGTGTGATCAACGAGGCCAAGAACAAGCTCTCGAGCATATTCGGTTATGACCTGAAAGAGCTTCAGCGCTCTCGCCCTTCTTCCACAGGCCAAGCCAGGCCTTCGCAGCCACAAAGTAAGATGGTTCGTTCTGGTTTGATCTTTTGCCTCCGTTTGTTTTCGTTGTGGGTTTCTTTCACTTGGCCTGTCTTTTCAATGTGGCAACACTGTTTGCAGGTGCCGTCGATATGAAATCATATGTTCTGGTGAGTCAATTACCCGTGGAGGTGTTCAGGAAGTACGTTCAGGACGAAAACACGGCTCATATGACTGGTTTCACATTTGTAGTCCTCGCTATTGTGCATCTTGCTGGAGGTAAAATCCCTGAAGGTATGCTTTCTACATCCAAAACTCAAAATCTTTAATCATCTGTGCTCCTGATCCTGGGTCTTGTAAACGTGTATTGTCCCGATTGTTGGCAATTCCCACGAAAATCAAAGAATTTTACTAGTTGCTGCTAGTTTCGTAGGAGGATTTCTTGGAACTGATTTTCTAAACCATTATCTTCATTCTTAGAAACCCTTTGGCATCACTTGAGGCGGCTGGGGCCGCATGAAAGCGAAGAGCATAATCCAGTATTCGGGGACAACAAGCAGGCCCTGGAGACATTAGTCCAGCAAAGGCAAGAAATTTCGTTAACGGAGTCAAAACATATACCGATCCAAGTTTTCACATTTCTTCTTGATAACGTGGGCAGGTTCTTGCAGAAGGACAAGGTGAGTGGTCCAGAGGGGACTACTTTGTGTTATGAACTTGCAGAGAGAGCATTGGATACTCAAGTTAAGGAGAAGATCAAAGACTACATTTCGCAGGTACTGCATCTTTTGTGGATTGCATTAACTTCATCATATTCAACAATGGTATGAATGTGATTTGCTGATGCAAAATACAGGTCATGAATAAAGACGTGGCCTCTGTAGAGATTGATTAGTGCGATTCAAGTAAAAGACAGAGCAAGCGGATTGATGCAAGATTTTGAAAGGATACTGGAGTGAAAATGTAAAGGGTTTTGTCTGATCTTGTTTAAAAACCTTTCAATGGCTCCATCAAGCTCTCTCCAGGTGAATTTCAGGAACAAGGCCAGTGTAGGTAGAATCCAATGGCGATGCAGATTCTTGCCCATGAAAAAGGGCAGTTCTCTTACTCCGTTGTTGTTTTGGTAATAATCCCATGATTCCGCCTGGTTGCTGCCACATGAATATCCAAATGGAACTCAGGCAAGAACAAATGCCTTACCAGTAACATTACTATGAAATGCCACAAGAGAACCGTGGCTTCTTGAGCCTCGAATCTCATTGCTGAATTCACGGGGAAGAGAGAAGGAAAACCATCAACTCCATATTTGGAGAATATACTGTAGCACGATTAAAATGATCATCAATATTCAGCACACAACAATATTCAGCACACAATATTCAGCAAACCCCAAACCCTCAGTCCTAAAGATTCGTGTCCCACTGCTAAGTTTCTTATATAAACGTGCACTTTGTTTTTCTCATGATAGATCTCTAAATGTGTATTCGCCCAGTGTGTCAGATGAGGAAAAAAAAGTGTAATGTAAGCAGCATTTGGTGTATTCTGTTAATGAATTTACTATATAAAGATCCCTCAAAATTCATAATCTGCACGAAAACGCCATAAAATCCAATCACAGATCTTGTTTAAAATTTTAATATACAACATCCATCGAATATAAAAACAACCAAAGAACTATTATGTGTAGGACTAGGAGCAAGGTGATGTTGTACGGAACGCACTCATATCTCAAAACTCAAATAGGCCCAAATCCGTATGAGGAGGAGATTACACTAAGGAGGGGGGTCCAAACTATTATTTTGTTTGGAATTTTGAAAATGGGAACAAGGAGGGTGTTGATGGGAGGTGGTGGTGGTGGTGGTGGTGGTTCCTTGAGGGCAAGGCGAGGAATGATTCACCCCTTTTTATAAAATATATTTTGTTGGACAAATCATTTTTTTTTTGTTAAAAAAATCAGAGTTGTTGGACAAATCATATTTAAATATATATATATATATATATATATATTTCAAAATATGTGATGTGATATGGATTGGGCGAATATTGCATGCACGTTTTATTAAAAAAAACACACAAGAAAAAGACAAGATCTAACACATCTGATTTTAGGAAAAATTTGCGTATATGTAAAAAAAAATATTTTGCCTTCTATATTTCTACTATTATAATCCTTGTATTCTATACTTTTTTAAATTAAAATGATCATCATATTCTTCTATATTATTATAACCTGCAGATTTTCTCTATTTATAAAAAAACACTCGAATGAATTTTGTTTTTTCACATACATGAAAAACACTTATATGGATTTTGTTTTTTTTATATAAGTATAGAAAAACACTTGCATGAGTTTCGTAAAAAAACATTTGCAGGTTAGCAGGTGCGACAGGTGCCATAGGTGTTGAAGATGACCTGCCACCGGTCGCAGGTCATTTGCCAAACCGTAAGTCATCTGTCGTAGGTTGTAGGTCATTTACCGCAGAGCGTATGTCATTTTTTTACAGACGGCATGTAATACCCCGAAACTCGAATTGGATATTAATTATTTAAAAATAAATAATTAAATGGGGATGTCACGAAATCACCAAAAATACATAGTGCAATGCCGGGGAGAGGCACGGGGATCGTCACATGCGGGAAGGATCGAGAAGGAACGAAGAAACGGAAAAGAAAAAGAAAAAAAAAAAGGGGAGCTGGTCCGCCGGACCAGGCCTGGTCAGGGGCGGACCAGCACTCAGCCGGAGTCGGGACTGGGCAGCGCGGACTGGGAGAAATTCGAAAAAAAAAATAAAACTGACCCCGGTCCGCCGGACCAATCCCTGGTCCGCCGGACCGGGTATCGACAATTCCGCAACTCGCCAACTTGCAGTCTTGGGACGCGGAATTCGCCGGATTCCGGGACCCACTCGCCGTCCAGTCGCCTCCCACGCCTCGAGGACGTTGCAGGCT